AATATATATGAAAAAGAAGTACCGTCTCTACTTGGCACCATGCCAAGTACTGTAGTCACCGTAAAGTATTTAATGATATTTTTGTTTTCTGGGAAAGAGAAGAGTTAGAGAGCAACCCTGCAAGACAATGCAATTATGCACAGACTAGAAAACCGTGGAGGCAGATAATTTAAGTGAAAATTTTATGGGAAAGCTGGATAATATCTAAGCCTTTACTTTGGTATGAACTTTTATAGGGAAAATTACTATTGAACAAAGTAGTCACAAAATATAAGTGCAGATTCCATTCATGTAAAGTTCAAAAAGGAGAAAACTAAACTAAATATTTGTGTATATGTTATATTTAAAAATTTTCCCTTCCCTTACCTCAAAACAAATATATATTTTAAGGATACGTACATAGTTGGTAAACTATGTAAAGAAAAAAGAATGACTAAGTGCAGAAGTCAGTGTGGTCATTAACTCTGGTGAGAGAGCAGAATCATCTAAAAGGAGTACTCAAGGGGGCTTCTAAGATACTGAAGGTTCTCTGGGTCTCTCTTATTAAAAATGAGTAAATGGGCCAGCAGGTAGAGTGGAGGTTAACGCAGCTGGATCCCACATGGTCGATTGCACAGTTCAAGTCCCAGACCTGGAGGCTTGAAAATAATGACTAGTATGTGTGTGTGCATGCCCAAATCCCAAGAGGAAAATGGAGGAGAAGGGATTACAACATGGCCATTCCCCTGGAAGATGATTTCTCACTTTACCCCCTCCCCCCCGTCTGTCTCTTTCCACTTAGTGCATGTGCCCAATACCAAAATTGATTTATAAAAAATCAGTGCTTTGGGGCCAGCAGGTGGTGTGGTGGCTAAGGGCGCTGGACTCCCACATGGCTGACCATGGTTCGAGTCCTGGACCTGGCGGCTTACTTTCTCACTTTCCTTCTCTCTCTTGCTCTGAACCTCTCTGGTCAAATTAAATAAATGAAGTTAAAAAAAAAAAAATCAGCACTTTTATAGTATTGATGTTAAGAGTTTTTTGTTGTTTTGTTTTGGCTAACAGTCCTTTATCAATGTCTTTTATAGAAATTTTCTTTCAGTCTGAATCACTACTTTTTATGTCATTTTTCTTATAAAGTTGGGCTCTATAACTTTCCTCTTTTTAAAAATAATTATTTCTTTATTTTTATTTATTCATTCATTAAGTTTTCTTTTTTTGGAGAGGTTTTTGCTATAGGGCACATGCACTTGCCAGAAAGACAGAGACAGAGAGACAGAAAGCAAGAAATCACCCCCCAATATTTGAGGAAACATGCATGAGTGTTAAATATTGTTGAGAATTTGTGTGCCTGAAAATGTCTGTATTTTACTTTAAACTTCAAGGTTTTAAAGTGTATAACATTATCATTCTGACTCCTAATTATTTGCATGTAATCTGAATTTCCTTCCCAAGAAGATTTTAGGATCTTATATTTTTGTTTTTGGAGAGGTTTTTGCTATAGGGTGTGTGCACTCGCCAGAAAAACAGAGAGAGATAGAGAGACACAAAGTGAGAAATCACCCCCAGGGTGGATGGCCACACCGCGATCCCTTCTCCTCCATTCTCCTCTTGGGATCTTGGGCTCCCTTCTCCTCCATTCTCCTCTCAGGATCTTGGGCATGCATGCACACACACCCGGTGTGAGTTTTAAACCACCGGATCCAGGACTCAAACCGCAGTCGACAACACGGGAGTCCAGCGACATAGCCATTACGCCAACTGCTGGTCCCTAAATTTTCTTTTCTAAACATTTATTTATTTATTTATTTATTTATTTTATTTATGGAACTCAAACCGCGGTCAGCCATGCAGGAGTCCAACACCTTGAACCACCGTGCCACCTGCTGATTCTCACAGTGTTAAGATTTCCGCCCCCCCATAGTGTTCTATTTCTTTGTTTTTCTCTCTCTCCCCATATTTTCTGGACAGTTTTCTTTATTTCGTCTTTTAATTCTATAGAATTTATTCAGAAAATATTACTTTTAATTTCCAAAAGCTTGTTCTTATTCCAAGTGCTCCTTTTTCACAGCACCCTATTCTTTTGGGAGTACACTGCTCTCTTATGATTCAAAGTCATAATAAAGAGGTGCAGTTATGTTCAATATCTGCTGTTTAAGTAGGCGGTAAAAAAGTGAACTGTTTTATAAATATATTTGCTCAAATGATTCAAATAGAAAGCTTAGCTGTTTTAGGTGATAAGCCTTTATTCATCTTCTTATAAAACACTTGTATTTTCAAAGTGGGTGTGAATGTCTCTCTGACATTCAAAGGGTAGTAATTGCCTTGAATTTAGTCTGAAGTAAATAAAGGTCAGGTTTTTTAGAAGTCCAGAAGAAAGAGAGGGAAGCTAGGAGCAGCAGATGGTTAAGGCACTGGATACTCCCACATGGGTGACCACCACGGTTTAAGTCCTGGTCCTGGTGGCTTGCTTTCTCACGTTCCCTCTCTCTATAGTCAAATTTAAAAATAATGGAGGAGGGGAGATTGCCACACTGCAGCTTAATTCTCCTCTACCTTAACAGGAAGTAAGCAGTTAATACCCAACATTTATACATCATAAAAAATGATATATTATTTTAGAAACATGGAAATATCAGAAAAACAGCTAAAATAATTAACATTGTTGCTTCTAGGGAGTGAGAAAAAAGAGTAGGGTAGTGGAATGGGACAGAAGACTACTATTTTTTTTTAATCTCATTTTATTTATTTATTTACTTATTTATTTGGAGAGGTTTTTGCTATAGGGTATGTGCACTCACCAGAAAGGCAGAGAGAGACAGAGAGACAGAAAGTGAGAAACCACCCCCCAGGGGAGATGGCAATGCCGCAACCCCTTCTCCTCCATTCTCCTCTTGGGATCTTGGGCACGCATGCACACGTACCTGGCATGAATTTAAGCCACTGGATCCAGGACTTGAACCACAGTCAGCTATATGAGAGTTCAGCGACATAGCCTTTATGCCAACTGCTGATCCGGATCTCATTTTACTGAAGTCAGCCTGGGCAAAATAACAAGACTGGTCTCTTTAAAATAAGGTTAAAGTGATAAATTTTGTTTTATTTTTTAATTTGACCAGAGCAAGATAGAGAGGGGGAGAGTGTGAAAGCAAGCCACCAGGTCCTGGACTTGAACAGCGGTCGGCGTTGTGGGAGTCCAGTGGCATAACTACCACACCACCTGCTAGCCCCAGAAGACTATTATTTTTCTTTAAGTTTTTTTAATAGTATAATATGTTCAGACTTCAAAAAGAAGGAAATTCTGACACATGCAACCACATAGATGAACCTTGAAGACTTGATGAGTGAAAAAAGCTAGACACAAAACGGCAAATGCTGTGTGATTGTACTCACATGAGGAACTTAGAGCAAGCAAAGTCATAAGAAAGAAACTAACGAACTATAGAAATGATCCCTGAAAGTATAGTCTTAAATAGAATGGTGCTTGCCAGGGGTTGGGAGGGGAGAGAGGGGCGTTAAATGTTTAATGGGGACAGAGTTTCAGTGGGGGAAGATGAAGAAGTTCTGGAAATGGATGGTGGTGATAATGGCACAACCCTGTGAATGTACTTAATGCCACTGGATGTAAACTTAAAAATGGTGAACGGTTAACGGGGCGTGACAGTATGTGCCTGTAATTCCAGCTGCTCAAGAGACTGAGGCAGGAGGGTTGTAGATTTGAGGTCAGCCTGGGCAAAATAACAAGACTGCTCTCTTTAAAATAAGGTTAAAGTGATACGTTTTATTTTATTTATTTATTTATTTGGAGAGGTTTTTGCTATAGGGCGCATGAGCTTGCCAGAAAGATATTGAGAGAAACAGAAAGCGAGAAATCGCCGCCCCCAGAGGGGAATGGCCATGTCGCAATCCCTTCTCCTCCATTCTCCTCTCAGGCTCTTGGGCACCTGCAAACGTGCGCCCAGAGTGTGTTTAAGCCACTGGGTCAGGGACTCAAACTGCGGTCGACTACATGAGAGTACAGTCAAATAATCATTACACTAACTGCTGGTCCCAAAGTGGTAAATTTTATATTATGTTTACCACAATAGAAAGAAACTTAAAAATAAAAACATGTGTGGTATTTTTAAATAACTATATGCATGTTTTAATTTTATGACAACATTCATTTTTAGTCAAACTTGATTAATTTCTTGCAAAGCATTCATATCAATTATGACTATGAGTATTTGTGCAGAGATGTTTGTGTGTGTGTATGCATAGATTTCATGACATAACTTGAGTCACACCTCGGCCTTTTTTACTTTTACCCAGTTTGCACCAGTGTTCTTCCTAGATCATGACAGGTAAGTTGTTTTTAACCAAGGGAATTGTTATTGAACATAAGTATTTCATGAGAAACTGAGATACCAGATTATTAAATGTAACACTTGAGCCCGGTGAATAATGTATAAACCCATCCTGTTTGAATAAGGACCTTCTTATGCAAGAATTTTCCTTTTATGGCTCCTGCTATTCTCAGTGACTACTCTAAATGCTTGGGTGTGCACTGTGAATGGTTTATTGAAACTTGTCTTTGTACAGAGACTGGGTGGGACTCTGAGTGAATTGAAGGTGCAGTAGCAGGTAAGTGCCCAGAGTGTCACAGCTGATTTCTGGCTCACGAGTTTATTTTTATAATCACTTTCCTTAACCTGGTCCAAATAGTATGAGTGCATGTATTTGTTTCTTCATGGTTATAGGCAATAAAAGGCCAGTGAGCTTGGCAGGGAGCAGCCCAACTAGTAAAGTGCAACCCTAATTCAAATCATTGTCTCTTTAAGTTTACAATTGAGAAGCAGCTCCAGGAAGAAAATAACAAGGAAAACAATTTTATATATCCCCAGAGATTTCAAACTGCTTGCCAGCCTTAAGTCATGCTCCTTGGTTTTGACAGGTTACATTTACCTTCAAGGGTTTATTGCTATAAAAAAACGTGTTAAAGCTCATTGTCGGCTTATCTCAGTTTTCCTCTCTGTTCACAGTGCGAGATGAGGATAGAAGCACGACGGAAAAATCTTCTCATTTTGATTTTGCATTATCTAACACAAGAAGGGTATGTTACCTTGCAAATATTTACTCAGACGACTCCTATTTCTCTACCCTCCACTTTGCCAGCCACATCATTTCAAAAACAATTAACAGACTTTTTAAAAGAGTGGTTTTATATTTCCAGAAAAATTGAGCAGAAAGTACAGACTTTCATATTAGTAAAATCTTGCATTAAAGTGGTGCATTTGTTATAATTTATGAGCCAGCGATGATATATTATTATTAACTAAAGCCCATATTTACATTGAAGTTTGCTCTTTGTGTCGTGGGGTTCTGGGAGTTTTTGTTTGTTTGTTTGTTTGTTTTTTAATTTTATTTATTTCATTCATGAGAGACAGGGGGTGAGAGAGGCAGAGACACAGATGGAAACTTTTTTTTTTTTT